AGTTCGTAGTAAGAAAACTTCAAGTTATTTGTTCACTTTTGGTCTTGAGTCTTCTACTTGCTTTCGGTAACTAGTTGATACAAGTGATCGTTAGGGAGAGTTGATTGTTAAATCATCTGATTTTTGTTATGTTTCTAATCTAATTATATGATACTAAAAATAGAATCATATTAGTATTTTTTTATATTAAGATAATCTCTTGGTCATATTTCTTTATTTAATTGTAAATTTAACTTTATAATATAATATTATACATATTTGAAGAGTATAATTAGCTATATATACAACTTTGATTGCCTATTTAAATAGGCTGCTTATTACTAAGTTTTATATTAGATGCTATATATATATATCTATAATCTAACTAGAGAGTTGTTTATTTAAATTCTTTACATCTATTTTTATTATTCTTTAACTAATTGAATACTAACTTAGAATTTTAAAGCAGGCTCATACCCTTTAAAAATCTCTTTATTCTTAAGATAAACCTTCTATACTCATAATCTGGTTAATCTAAACTTTAATAATTTATACCAAGTTTAAAAACAAGTATTTACAAGCCAAGGTCACTACTATTATCTACTGCTTTTGTAAGATTTATCCAAATTTTAGCATATACTTTACAAACTATCAACTATACTTTTAATTGTTCTAAACTTCTAATTCAGATGGTCTAAAAGAATTGTTTTTTTTTTTTTTTTTTAGTTTTATAACTAGCTTCTTTGAGACTATAGTTTTTATTCAAGTTTATAGATAAGGGGCTCACTTATAGAACCCTAGTACATTTATATACAAACCTAGCTTGTATCACTAATACATCCCCACCACAATTACCTGTCATAAGAAGTTCCAGATGCTTTTCCTGATATCCTTAGAACTAATTTATTCTCGAGACGTTGTTAGCTAAAGCTTTCTATACCCACAATCTGACTAATCTAGACTTTCAGTAACTTATACCAAGTCTGAGAACAAGCACTTGTGAGCCGAAGCCACTACTATTACTTACTTCTGCCTTTGCAGAGTTTACCCAAACCTCAACACATACTTTACAGACTATCACAGGTATCTAAGTTCCGTCAGTAATCTAAACTCCCAATCCAAATAGCCTGGAGAGGCTGTGATCTGCCCCTGGTCCCATGGTTGGGTCCTTTTCCTCCGGTTACTTGTTTGGCAGCCTGGTTGGTATAGTGTCTTGCCAAACACCAGTCCTTATCCAGACTACTGAAATCGGTGTCCAGATCCCTTAGATAGCCTTTTATATAGTATTATCAAAGATCTGTGCTACTTCCCTGCTTAGAACTTGCCAAACATGCTTTTATATGTCCCAATACCTGGATTTACACAGCTATTTCACTCAGGTTTCATGTGACTCATACATCACACTACAGTTTCACAGCTTTCCAATAACCCCTGGTACAACTAATTTTACAGATCCGATAAGCTATTAGTTTATACACAGTCTGCTGTAATACATTCTGTAAAATTCGAATTTCGTTGCCAGTGAGATTTGAACTCTTGTCCTGCCGCTTGGGGGTATAACAACTTAACCACTTCACTAAGTAATCACACCCTGACCTAAAAGAATTATAACCTGCTTCTGATCTCTATAGATAGGTTTTTTTCTCTAATTACTCATTTAGCAGCAGCCTAATTGATAGAATGCTTTATTAAATAATTCTGGTTTATTTAGTTTTTTGATTATTTTTAGATTATAATTTTTATATAGTACTATTAAAAATCTGTACTATCTCTCTACTTAGATTTTATTAAACAATTTTTGTTTCTTAATCTGTAAAATTTATTCAGCAGCTTCATTTAGATTTATATAACTTATATATATTTTTTCCTTCAGCAATTCTGTTTACTTTATTATGGGAACAAACTTTTATTCTTATATTGATATATAAAGAAATTTAAATCTATAATGTTTCTAACCAAAAGATAAACTCACTTACAGCATACCTCACAGATGCTATAACATCCACTTGCGGTCAGGATGAACCATTAAACCACTATGTTTTGCCTAGATGCAACCTGCCTAGTGAACAATTGAACTCTTCCAGAGATCCGAAACTTACTCCAGACTTATTTTTCTGAATTCCTTAATTAGCTGTTGCACCACCCCATCAAGATTTCTGCTCTACAATAGAATGCCACCAAACTGATGACACTTTCTTGTAAGAAAAGAAAAAAGAAAAAAAAAGGAATAGTAAAGAACGAAAAAAGTGTATATAATAAAAACTAATACATCAAAAAAAATGAATACTAATACTAAGGAATATAAAAAACTAAACTAAAACCTAAAAGAAACTAACACTAAAAAGAAGAAAACCTGCTAATCAGGCAAAAACTTCTAATTATACAGAGTCACGATCTACTATTAAATGTGAAAGTCTTGACAGGAAATTTAAAACTAAAATAGAATGCACTATAACTCATGCTAGAGGCTAAAAATTATATACAGGTGACTAAAGAATGCCTGTATATCTCTTTTCACTTTGCTTTACTCTTTCAATTAAATCCATATCTTCATCCAAAAGTATAAGAATTTTTCCTTAACATATAATAAATCACACATATACGTATCCATTTATTATCATTAACAGGGTTTTAGACCATATGCATTACGTAGGAATTTGGATTTTAAGTAATTTTTATAGTAAAAAAGCGATAATTATATTTTTTAATATAGAAACATTTTATTATTAAGTTCTATCAAAGCCCTTATAATTCGCAATAAGCAACCCTTTGTACAGATCTTTCATTAATGCAAAGAAAATATTGCGTATAAATGAAGCAATAATATCTAACAGTAAGAAAAATGTAGTAATAGTTGCATGAAGGTATAGTAAAAATATAAACTAATTATAATTTAGAAGGAAGATCATTGCGAAAACGTAGTAAGATTTCATAATCTCTACGAATAATCACATAAATTGATCATGTGATTATAGGGGGTACACCGCTGTGCAAGTGCACAATCTTATAAAACCCTAACCTTTTTATATCATTCAACAATTATTCTTCTTCATCCATTGGTAAATCAGCAGGCTTCACAAGCCCTGGAATCTTCAATGCATTTTCCATTGCCGTCTTCTTTTGAAGCTCTGCTTCAGCCTCCCGTTCTTCTAGATACAAGTCGGCATTATCTCTAGCAAATTCTTTAAGTTGAATTAGAAAGTCACGCATGTGCAATTTAAATTTAGCAAAATCCTTGTTCAGTTCGAAAAGGCCTATAATAAAATGCTGAACTTGGGCTCTAATAACAAAAATATGATGGTATCAGATTTGAATAAAATCATTAAAATTAATTTATACAATACTAACGTTTGTAAGTGAGGGAATGCATTTTGCAATAAATTCATAACATATTCCCTCAAAAATCTTTGATTAGTCATAGATGGATCTGTTACTTCGGTTGGATTAAACAGCGGAGCTTGTACTGCGCCAGTCTCCACAAGCTCAAATATTCGTTGAAGCACAGAACATTGCATTTTAAATCCTTTTAAAAGTCAACAATAAGCTATAAATGATTAAAAACACAATATGAAAAAGTCATAACTACACGTACCACTTTTATGATCTGTATCAGTCAAAACGAAAAATACATCTTGTAAAAGATTAAGGAAATACTGATTATAAAACAAGTTTGCAGTCGATGGATCTTGTAATGCTGCTATATTATTAATCAATTCTAAACAAATATTTAGACCAGTATCTGCGATATCACGCATCGTATGTTTGAAGGCCCACACAATACTATCCATTATAAGTTTGAACTGTGCTGGTGGCAGAGTTAACAAAGCTAAAAAGAAAGTTTTAGTGACAATAAACTAGGTAAACAAGAGATTATGAATAATTAAATAATTCATACCAGGAAAACAATGCTGATTGATGGCTCGAAGAAGTTTAAAGAATCCAACACGATGTTCAGGATACTCTGCAAAATCTTTATTAATCATATTTAGCGTGCATTCGAATACAGCATTAAGAATGGCTGGGACTTCACTTGTAATTCCAGCCTGTTAAAATCATTCGATCATACTTAGCCACTACCAATTTAGAAATATAGAATCATATTAAATCAAACATTACCCCGAGCTTTGTAATTATAGTGGCCATTGAACTTAACACTTCGGCATCCCTAGCTTGTTCAACATTGGTATTATAATCAATCAGAACTGCAGACAGCAATGGTGGCATCAAGTGCGTTATGATTGTGCTTGTTTCTTCCGCTTTAGTTATATAAACCTCCATTAATTTAAGTGTCTCTTTCTTAATTACTCGTAAATTACGCACACGAGGAGTTTTCGTAGCAATTTGGCCTAACAAAACAATAAGACCAAAGTGAGGATCAGAAGTTAGGATCAGAATTTAGAAGCACATTAAACATCTAATTCTTACCTTCTCTGTCGACAGTATCCGATATTATCTGGCTGACAGCTTTGTACAATTCCAGTAAAGGTACATAAATACGGGCGATTTGAACGGAAAAGCCGCTACCAACAGCGGTACAAGCGGCAACGTTTGTTCTCAGCACATGACCCAGAATCTTGGTGTTCTCCGTAACATTAAGGGCATCCAAATTTTGACTTACTTGGGCCAATATACGATCCCACTGAAAACATACACTTCAATTAGTACAACCTAACTTTTATTAATAATAAGCAATGAATTATTGTATTATGTATCATACCCCTGCGTTCGGTAGTTCCATATACATGACTACCAGACGTTCTTGGACCTGCTTTGTCTGTTGTGCTGAGATCATATAACCAACAGCTTCGTAAAATGTTTGAACCTATAATATGTATTTACAGAATTAATTTTTAAATAATATTAAGCTATCCCTTACACCTTTTTACAGACAAATTTGCCTGCAAATGATCATGATTAATTCATGAGATCAAGCTAACAAACTATATAGTAGTTTATATCATAGTTCATTTCAAGCTATACTAATAGTTATGGTACGTATAAAAGCTTACTTGTTGAGGAGACAAATCTTTTGTTATGTTTTCAATAGTATTAAGAATCTCTTCTATGAAAGGGCAGCTTTCGCCTTGTTGTTGCGTAACGAACTGACGACGACATTTCTGGGCAATTTTTATAAAAGTATCACAAGCCATATCTTGTACACCTACATACGGCATCCCCCAAAAGAATGCGATGAATAAAAATAATTATATAAGGTACTTGTTTTATAAAAATTTTTTATATACTTTACCTTCATGCGTTTCGTGCATGAACTCAAAAAGTTTATTGACAACAGTCTTCAAGAACTTCCAGTGTGCTTTAAGAAAACGAGGATATTGACCAACGATATACATTATGTTGGAAGCAACCACAGCTTTATTGTCTTTGCCACGTTTTTGTTCACAAAGACCCAAAAGTTCTTTGATAACCGTTACCAAAAATCTTTTTTCCGTGTCCTCATCTATACAAGTTACGAAGTTAGATGAAGGATAATGAATCGTATAAAGCAAATCTCGTCTTTGATGGTGAGACAAATATTATTTGGTAGGATCATCATACTCATTGCACCGGATATGGATCCAATTGCCCAACAAAGTTTATTTAAGTTGTTCCAAGACCATTCGCTTCCGTCAACCTTTCACGTATAATGAATTAATATTTTGAAATTACATGTCATCAAAGTAAAATTGAAAATTTACCTGCTTATTTAATTTATTTGACATGATGCTCTCTGCATCTTGAACATCCAAATGTGTAAGATAAACCAGGCATTCTCGCATACTTTTATATAATGTGATGGTATCACTATCTTTCATGAATTCACGAACAATTTCCCCTTCTTCGTTCTCAACAATTAGGACCTATATATAAAGTAGGCATAAACTATTAAAATCGAAGGCATAATTAATAGCATGAAATGAAAAATTATTATACCTCCTCAGGTTTAACCATACGATCTATCATTATAACTCGTAGGTTGGACAATATTTCACTATACATATGCTTTCTCAGTGTAGGATTTGCAAGGGAAGATTGAGGAGGTATTGCACCAGACAGAGAAAGTAAAGGCATTTCAAGAACAGAAAGTTGCTGTGTTTCTTCGTATAATTCAGCAACCTATAATGCATCATCATCAATATCTTAATATATAAATATATAAATATAAATAAATAAATATGCATATAAATATGTATAAACGATAGGCGTCTTACCAGCTTAGTCCAGTATTCTAAACACACTTTGAAGACTTCACGTTCTTCGACTTGAGATATTCTAAGGAGATAAAAATGAGCGGTCAAGAGACCGTTGCTATTTGGTTGAGCCTCCATGATCTATATAACCAGAACATGTTAAGTTATATTAATGATAATTATAATTTTATAAACAAGCCTTGAAGCTTGTACCTTTAAGTGAGCACTCAAAAAGCTAGTTAAGAACAATGCTAGATTCTGAATAAATTCTTGTTCTTCATTTGAGCTATTATTATAAATCATTGCGAAATCTGTCAACAGGGCAAATAATCAGAAAGTCAGCCGGTCGAATAAATTCATATATTCATTTCAACAAATTAATAAATAAAATACCCGCTGAAATTGGTATCATAGTAGTGAGCGATGCTACAACCATATTGAATAAAGAAACGAATTTATCATCATATTCATTGGTCACATTTAATGCCCCGATTTCAGTGAGACATTTCAATGTCACGTTTCTGTAATCGGCAGATTCTAAGAACTATACAAATATCATAAATCAAACATTGAATTATTATATACAGATTCCATTGCCAAAAAAAAAAAAAAAAAAAAAAAAAAAATCTAAAGCACTAAAATAAGTTAAAAAGGTAAGTTACTAAATTAAGTACCAACCCTAGTTCGCAAATTTTCGATAATGTTGGTTTCAAATATGTATCCTAACGGAATCCAATTTAAAAACCTCAACAAAGTTTCTAACGTAGCTTTAATTAAAGATGGCTGATGCGCTCTTTCTAATACTTCGTTACATAATTCAAATATTTTAGAAAATTCATGACACATTTGGGTTTTCAAATTCTTGGTTTTGAGTTGTGTCATCTGTTCAGCCGAATAATCGAAAATTTCCTCGCTATAATCATAAAATAAAGACAACAGAATAAAAAAAGAAAAAAAAATAACCGATAATAAGACTGATAGTAAATTGAAAAATTATCATACCATCATTACCATACCTTAGTAGTTTAAGAATTGCCATGTTATTCTCACATATATTCAAATTAGAACGT